AAATTACAAAGAAATCGTGTTCCACTAACTATGCCTCAATCACCGAAGATAACTCCCGTTCAAGCCGTAATATCAACACCACCCTGGAGCACTCGTTAACATCCCTATCAGGAATGTTGATTTGCAACTTTGTTTAAAAACTTAAAATAGCTTACTTAATAAAACATTTATTATAAACGCGCCTATAGTAGTTTTGCACCTACGTATTATATAGATTTTTCTAAGTTTTTACGTATAAGTTTTGAATATTAAATTTTGAATATAAAATTTTTCACATTAGAGTTAATATTTAAGGTTAAGGTTAGGTTTTTGGGGTAGAAAATCTCTACTTAAGGCACATTAGCCAGTTCTTGAGATAATATATGCATAGGTGTAAAACACCATAGGTGCGTTTAAGTAAAAGTCAAATAAAATTTTTAATTTTTAGTTTTATATATAATTAACAAATTGTACTCCCGCTATATATTAATAAAAGAATAATGCATCAAACTGGCAATGAATGATAATTTCTTTATTTACATTATTAAGTAATAAAATCAATTTTATTACAGAAATGTTCTTTGGTGTGAGATTACAAAAGTAAGATACTAGATCAAATATCTGAATTACTATCTTCCACCTTAACTCTTTTAGAAGATGGCTGTTCTGATTCATTAGTGTCGATTTGATTATTATCTACTGATTCTGCTATAACCGTCGTTTCTTCGTTTTTGCTAGCAGGAGATTGTGGCGCGACTTCAACATTAGGATTTGTATTGTCAGATATCTGAACATCTTGCATTTCAGTTGTCTCTATATTACGAAAAACATAGTATTATATATTAATAATATGATAGAATATTAACGAGTATGATTATCCTGACATACCATTACCAGTTGTAGTAGTTTCTTCAAAACTATCTTCTCTAGAACGCTTACGTCCAGTTGTTTCAGTAGGAATACTAGCAACCTCCGTTGAAGTTGGCTGCACAGCTATTTCTGTTTCGGAAGATTCAACTACGCTTGTTTCATCAGACTGAGACTCAGAAATGGCAGATGTGCGCACAGTTGGCTGCTGCTCCTCTAATGGCGGTGGCGTTGATATTACGGCTTGAACGGGAGTTATCTTCGGTGATTGAGGCATAGTTAGTGGAACACGATTTCTTTGTAATTT